TTTGTTGTTTTCATCCAGCGATTAAACAATGGTGAAATCTCCAGTCTCAAAACCTAGAACAGAGCTTTACATAAATTTACAATTAAACTAGTGGGGTGTATGGCATCGTGCCTTAAGGCAAATTGCTGGAACTTCCCGTACCGTAACGAAATGTTCAAGGAATACTGAATGTTTTCAAGTAGATTATTATAAATATTGTAACATTGTCTAATATCTATATGAATTATATAAACTAAATTGCAAAGTTGAAATTATTTGTTTAATGTATATTAGAACTATAGTCAGAATTAAAATTAAAATCTGAATTATTTTCGATATACAAAAAAAAATTTAAAACAAAAAGATTTGAAAAAAAAATTAGAAATTTTTTTTTCTAAAATCAATTATTTTGTTAAGACAAGCAGAAAGTTCTTTGAATCATTTAAATCGGACGCTTAGTTCTCTCAAAAACTGCCATTTTTTGCACATTTAGCTCCGTATCTTCGAAATGGCTGGGCCTGCCTTTGCCAAAAACTAATCAGCTCTTTTCCCTACTAATATGAACCGAATGTTTTTTGAACCATTCAAATCGGTTGATCCGTGCGCCCGAAAACGTGACTGGAAATTTGTATCCATACATACATACACACACACACATTCATTTTTTCTGAGGTATGCCAAAATGTTCAGAAACCTTCAAAACGTCGAGAAATGTAAAAATTTTCAATTTCGATTTCCGGACCATTACAATAACTTACCCTAGGGGAAGTTTAGAGCATCTTCAATAGTTGAGGTCCTGTATATCCATTGATTCGCAGAAATTATTAAAAAGTTTAGACGCTTTTCTGAAAAAAGCAGTATCAGAGACGAAGAAAAATATTTCACAGCTAAGTAATACTCAGTTATAGCCAAAAATTGCTGTATTTGTGAGATATCACATATAATTAGTAACAATAGATATTTATAATTTGAAGGGGATGGTACCATTGTATTTCTTGAAGTCAAAATTAATATATTCAAAAATGTAATAAAAACTGTTGGTTTTTAATAAATTAATCAAAACGTTGTGGAATTTATGATTGCTTAGTTGACGTATTTGTAAAGGTAATAAATTGAATAGTTGAATATCAAAACCATCAATTGAATTAAAAGTAGAATTAAGCTTAAAAGTCGATCCTTTGATAGTTCTATTCCTTGTGACATAGTGGAAATTGGACATGGAGGATAAATTAAAGTACTGGGTATTATTTTTTATAAAGAGAAGTGTAATAAGTAGGAATATGTTAGAAACGGTAAGAATGTTATACTTCTGAAAAATATTTCTACAACTTGTCATCGAATTAAGAGAGAACCTGATTCTTAGTGCTCTTTCCTGAAGTTTGAAAACATGTTTTAAGGATGCTGAAACACCCCAAAATTGAATGTCGTAGACCAAATGCGAGTAGAAGTTGGAGTAATAGATAGAAAGAAGACAATTTAAACTAATTTTAGATTTAAGAACTCTTAACATAAAACAAGTTCTAGAAAGTTTAGGTATTAATGACAAATAAATATGATGATCCCAATTTAGTTTTTTTTGAATTTGAATTCCTAGGAATTTAGAAACGGCAGAAAAATTGAAGATGACATCATTAATAATTAGGGAATTGATCTCGAAACGACATTATTTTAGTTTTATCGTTATTAAGTAAAAGGTTATTAGAGTTGAACCAATTAGAAACTGCAATCATTGATTGGTTTAGTTTAAAACTGACTTCCTCAAAAGATTTTCCTTTAATAATTAAACTTGTATCATCGGCAAAAAGAATAAATTTGCAAAGATCGGTACAATTAGGCAAATCATTAATATAAATTAAGAATAACAAGGGACCAAGAATAGAGCCTTTTGGGACTCCGAGTTTGATATTTAACTTATTAGATTTTACTGTGGGGTCTTGATCATCAAGATAAACTGATTGTGTTCTGCTAGATAGATAAGATGCGAATAGTTGAAGTGGTAAATCACGCACACCATATTTTTCTAATTTATTAATAAGGATATCATAGAAATACTATCGAAAGCCTTTGAAAGATCACAAAATACTGTCACGCAATAAGAACCTTCTTCAAAAGAGTTAATGATATTATGAACCAATGTGTAAATTGAATGAAAAGTTGAGCGGTTTTGACGAAAATCGTGCTGATTTTTAAAAAGAATGTTATTTGCAGACAGGAAGTTATTAAGTCCATTATACAATATTTTTTCAAAAACTTTATTAAAAGTGTTCAACAAAGAAATGGACCTATAATTATTAATAATATCAGTAGGACCTTTTTTATAAAGAAGTCTAATTTTTGAATGCTTGAAATGAACCATCACTAATAGCATTGTTGAAACATAATATAAGTTTATCAATAAAAAATGGAAAAAATGATTTAAGAATATCCGATGGTACTCCATCAGGACCAGAAGAGTAGGTATTTTAGAGATATAATATAACGTTAGAGAGTTCTTTGTTAGAAATAGGGTAAAGATATAATGATTTGGAATTTACGGTGATTTTTGAAAAAAAAGCGCTGGAAATAACCGGGTCGACTACTATGTTTGATGTCATATCGAGTACTTCATTAACAAAAAAATTATTCAAAGAGTTTGCAATTGTTTGTTTATTTTGAATTGTTACGTTATTTATAGTTAGAAAATCTATTTCAGATGAACACAATTTTAAATTCACTTCAGATTTAATGAGAGACCACATTGCTTTTTGTTTGTTGCTAGATTTCGTAATAATATTGTCATTATACATAATTTTAGCAATTTTACATAAGTTATTAAATATTTCTCTATATTCCAAAAAGTAAATCATGAATTTTAAGTCGTTGTTGTTTTTGGATATTCTTTCTAATTGCAGTAACTTATTATAAGGAATATTTAACCCTTTGGGGGACCAAGTGCGCAGATCTTTGCTTAAAGAACTCTTAGACTTTAATATTGGAAATGCGAGATTAAATTTAGACAAAAAAAAGAAGTAATAAATACCTCAAACGTAATATTTTGATCCAATGCTAATAATGATTCTTGCTCTAAAAGTGTTCTAAATTTTAGTTTATTTGTATCGTTAAATTTGCGTTTATATTTAAAGATAGCTTTTGATGATTCTATATTGTTTGGGATATTAAGAATATTGCCTTAATGGTCAGAGAGGCCGTGGGAACAATGTAGTTACTATTTTATTCAATAGCAGTGGTCAAGTTGGTGAAGGCAATGACTGACTTTTGAGGCGAGGCATTTCGATCATATAAGCCCTTCCCCATGGAATAATTCCCCCAATAAATTCTTAGGTGTTCTCACATCTGAACATGCCACATACAATTGCGAAAAACATTGATTTTCTAAATCACGTCTGAAATAAACATCGTTCGACCCTAAGATTTATTTATGACTATAAAAAAATGCCATGATTCGGGAACGGCCGAATGGAATTTAATTCAGCTCAAGGAAGTGTCCTAGGTCTGTACTACCCACTATTTTATTTATTTCATGGTAAATCTTAAGCGTACAAAAAATTTCAATCATTTAAATACTAAATAGTATGGTATATTCTGATAGTGCCATTGTAATTTGTGGTAGAAGAACCACTTCTTTAAATCTCTCAGTTGAAATCGTTTTTTTATTTATATTTCCTTTATATTATCTGTCTAATAACTGAACGGGTATTGCATTAACTCGAAAGATGCAAATACGCATTTGACTAATCTTCAATCACAGATTATATAGCGGCATTCAGCTATATCTATTAAATTCAAAAACTTCGTTGAATAAAACACAATATCATTCGCAATAAGAACAGTTTCTATTGCTTTGCTATTTATTTATTTATTTATTTATTTAAATATATAGCCCACAGATTTCTCCAAGAGGACTCAAAAATACAATTATTTGCTATGCCTGGTCAGCATATTCTTAGCTCCTGGTATAGCACGATCACTGAGTCAGTTATGATCCAATTAATTTCTTTGTATATTCGGTAACATATCATGAATTAATTCATTTTTCTTTTGAAAAACAATGTAGGATTTTTTTGACACTTTTATGCATCCGGTATTTGGTTGCGGTCGTATTTTGCTATTTTCAATACCATGGTTGTCAAGACAGCGGAGTTTTGTGCTAATGAATCTCAAGATTTTTACAGAGAATTGCAATTATGAGCTGCATTGTTCTGGCAATATTGCAGCAATTTCTTGCTGCAATTTGTTCTGGCAAATGATTAGTTAGTTCTCAACATTTACTTTTTGCATATCTGATGTGCTTGTTATAAGTGTTTGATTTCTTATTTGAAATTGATTCAAAATACAATTGATTCATATTGACAGCGAGACGTTTTTGTTAGATTTTTGCATAGGCAGGTCCACCCGTTTGGTAGATGAAGAGCAAAAAGTGCTAAAATTTACAGTTTTTGTGAAAACGCAGCATCTAATTCCAATGATTTAAAACACATATTGCTTGCATTGACAATGCTTAGAATAGATTAGTTTTTGAGAAATAAATTGTTTTTTTCATCTCAAAATTCCACTTTTTTTTAATTTTCTTTTTTTTTATATTGAAAATCATCAGATTTTTTTATTTTAATTCTATCGAAAATTCTAAAGCTCGCTTATATACTTGAAATAAATAATTTTAGCTTTGCAATTCAGTTTATAAAATTCCTATGAGGTTTGTTTATTTACTTTTCATATAAACACGTATAAAGACCGTCGTTCAACTTACATTTCATCTACTAAATATGAATAATGAAAGTTACAATATTCATAATAATCTATTTGAAATCAATTAAAATCATTCCAATATTTAATTACGGTACGGTACGGTACGGCAAGTTCCACCAGTTTGCTTTAAGGCATGATGTCTACTTATATTAAAAATTGTATTCTATCAAGAAGAAAACTAGAGTAATAATTATGAGACCACTTTAGTGATATAAAGATTTATTAATCAAATAATAATAAAAATAGTACAAAATAATTAACATATTGTGATGTCTTATGATATTTTTATTAAAAATCGTGATTTTATATTATTATATACACTATGTTTTAAACTAGAGTCGTTACCTGAAAAACTATATTTTAAAACTAGTACGATTAATTTGTATTTCCTATTTTTATACACCACGATTTCTCAGATCCTTTACTTTATAGATTCTTACTAACCAATGCTCGGTTGTGTAGGCTTCTTCTAGTACATCGAGTTCAAAATCTTTATTGCCAATTTCTGCTGAACGTACACGGTCGTAACCTGGAGGCTTTCCTATATATGACACAAATTCATGATATAATTAGCATGACACAATTTATGATATAAAATCATCAGATGAATTTAAATTTAGCTCATAAATCATTACACACATCACACTTTCAAAATTTGTTGGAATGTGCATGGTTAGAAAACATATTAAACTATATGACCTAAATTGACAGATTTTCTGCTATGTCATGTAGAATATATATTTACAAAAATCAAATACAGTCAACCGACCCTTAACACGATCCTCGAAAAACGCGGTTCCCTCCAAAATATGACATCCCTCCGATATTACGAACTTCCTATTCCTATTACACGATTTCGTTCATACAGCCCATAAGTTCTTTGCGCAATCAATGAATAACTCTGGTATTAACCAGACATTAAAAGGGTATTAATTAATGTAATGAATCGAGAACAGTCAAGTAGAGTTTAATTCTGCTCTCATCTTTCAGCTAGATATATCTTATGCTCTTATCTTATGCTAGATTATATCATAGCTGTGTACGGCATCGGTTTTTGTGTTATTCCACATGTTCTATACCACATTTTGATGGATTAAGTATTACTAAAAAAAATCTGAACCGTCATCATGTCGAAATATAAGGAAGGCTAGGAAAAGATTTTAAAAAATCATATTATAAAATAGCGGGGACAAAATTCACGTCTGCTGAAGAAACAGGCGATAATCTCTTCAACAAAGTTGAATGATTTTACAATTCGAACCTTAAATAAAATAATCTATAACATAAAAATGAATCGTAAAATGTGTTGGTAAGTACATAACTCAACAACGCCTGGACCAATTTGGCCAATTCTTTTTTTAAAATTTCGTTCGTTTTGGATACTAAGAGCGTCAATAATCATCAACATGGCGGCAACTGGCGGTAACACATATTGTGTAAATTTTATTACTTTCTGGATTAATTAGCTCAACAAAAAATAATTGTAATCTACAGCTTGCCGTTTTTGCGGGATTATAAAGAATTTAACAATTAATAAATAAACGAAATTTGGTTAGCTTATGCTTAAGTTGGATTCGTTTTGACAGATAGTAAAAACTGACGCTCACGCTTTCGCTGCCCTACCTCTGTGGCGTGAGCATATATGAGCGCAAAGTATGTGCTACAAACATGCTACGATGATGCTACGACTCAGCCATGAGCGTACTTATCCATCCACTTTTTGAAAAATATCGAACGATATAAAAAAAATCTAACTTTCGAATTGTATAAACATGAATACAAAGCAACATCTGTCGGGTCAGCTAGTTACAAATAACAATAAATATGTCCCCAGAAAACCATCTATAAAATAAACTTTTGAAAGCGCGAACATGATTGAACTGTATACTGCGTCGCGCCAATTTTTAAATAAGATGTCTTTGTCACATTGTCCATACATATCATTTCCTCCAGTTATCCCCTTTTTCTGGTTGTATTCCTAGGTCTCTGTGAAACGCGATAAAAATTGTGCCATTTGTACTAAATCCGAGTTTCTCATAGCACGGCCCCATAAAACATGATATCAAGTTTCGGTAAGAGGCATTACGAATAAGCCTAAATTGTATGTTAAATACGAGTTTTTTAAGCACGTTTCTCATACTACACGATACGCACTTGCCGCGTTAACGGATTGTTGACTGTACTGGTGAGAAGTTCTCAGCCACACATAAAATTAAATGCTTTTAATAATATGCAAGGTGGCTTACCTCCTTCGGTGTAAACCTCTCCAAATCTATAGTAGCACATTTTGTACATTAAAGAATTAAGCAGAGTTTGTGAACCTTCCCTATCTACTCTAAACTCTCCGCTTGGTGAATAATAATCCCACTCTTTGATATGGGCTCCTCTGTCAGTACTGCCTCCAATGCGCACCATCCATAAGAATTTATTGATATCTAAAAAAAGTTTAAAATAATTCATTCATTATTTTACACATGTAATATAAATCAAACGTCCACCTACCATCAGAAGAATAACCAGTTAGTCCTCCAAATATCACTAGTACATAATCAACATCTAGTTCTCTCATTATTTCGTAGGCTTTGTCTTCAGTGCTTGCCATGGCTTGACCGACCCGAGAAATGTGCGTGTTGTTCCAAGTATTATTGTCAACCAGGATTGTACGATTGGCCATTGCCGTTATCTGGTATCCATAATCCCACCATGACATCACACGAGCATCCTAAAATACATTAAAAATAGACTATGATAAATAAAAGTATGCAGTGGTTAATTACTCTAAAGAAAGTTACCACAACGAAGCTCGGTCTGATTTATATATAATTCGCATACCTGAGGTGTATTCATCTGCAGCCAATAATAAGCTTCTCGGAAGTCATCAAATATAATTTTTCCACCATCATGTGATTTAGCTGATAGAACTATGCTTGGAGAACTGTAAGCTTCAGCGGTCACCCAAGTGCAATGATAGGTATACGATATCAACAATAATGTCATTATGCAGACAAAGGCTGTTGCTATCTGGAAAACAGAAAATATTGTAAAATAAAATTATTGAAAAAACCTGTTGATGGAACGAATCTAGTTTCAAAACGTTGTAATTAAACATTTACAAAAAACAAATTGTTTTTTATTTATTGAATTTATTGTTCAATTAGGCATTGGAAACAAGCATTAAATGTCAGTGATTCCTTTATTTTAAATAAAATATTTTTAGGAATTAAACGAGATGTAGCTCATCCGAGGCATGTTTAATTTCTGTAAAAATTGTAAGCGTGCGACGCAAAAATTTTTGAAAAAACTCCACACGTGTTAGCAATAAAGAGTACAGTGTTTGTGATAGTGTGAGCATAGCGCGGTATTCGATAAAAATTGGGAAATATTATTTAAAACATATTGGTAATTTTTGCAGAGGAAGCTAGTATCAGTTCGCCTATTAATACTAAATTTGTCTAAAAAAATAAAAGCCAATTCTGCATAGCGTCTTTGTGAGACTTTCGACTCGTGATAAAGAACCTTTGCATAAACATCACATTGAACGCATGATTGTTAACTTCCCGTAGGGTAAGTTATTGTAATGGGCCGAAAATCGAAATTGAAAATTTTTACATTTCTTGACGTTTTGAAGGTTTCTGAACATTTTGGCATCCTCAGAAAAAATGGATGTGTGTGTGTATGTATGTATGGATACAAATTTCCAGTCACGTTTTACGGCCGCACGGATCAACCGATTTGAATGGTTCAAAAAAACATCCGATTCCTATTGATAGGGAGATGAGCTGATTAGTTTTTGGCAAAGGCAGGTCCAGCAGTTACGGAGATAAAGAGCAAAGAGTGCAGAAAATAGAAATCGAGTTTTTGAGAGAACGGAGCATCCGGTTTGAATGATCTAAAAACATTCAATTAGTAATGATTGGGAGAAGTGTTTATTAGTTTTTGGCAAAGGCAGGCCAAGCCATTTCGAAGCTAAATGTGTAAATAATAGCAGTTTTTGAGAGAACTAAGCATCCGATTTAAATGAGTCAAAGAACTTTCTGCTTGTCTTAACAAAATAATTGATTTTGGAAAAAAAAAATTGTTTCAACTTTTTTTTTAAAAAAAAAATGTATATCGAAAATAATTCAGATTTTATTCTTTAATTCTAACTATTGTTATAATATACTTTAAATAAATAATTTCAACTTTGCAATTCAGTTTATATAATTCTTATAAATATTAGACAATGTTACAATATTAATAATAATCTATTTGAAAACATTCGGTATTTCTCGAACATTTCGGTACGGTACGGAAAGTTCCAGCAATTTACCTTAAGGCACGATACTATACACCTCACTAGTTAGATTTTAAATTATTCAATATAGCTTTCTTCGAAGACGATATCATGATTATAGCGAACTTCGAACTTTTCGAAACCATTTTTGTAGTACGATTTGTACATCGATTTGTAGTACGATTTGTCATAAAATTCATAATTTGGTAACGAGCATCCTTCTGAGATCGCTGGAGAACAGATCTAGAAAATATAGGGAACCAATTCAGAGCCCAATTCATGTTTTTTTGCCAATGTTTTCACGGATTTGTGACTTCGTGACATTTTTTCGATTACGATCTTCCAATGCTACAATAACGTTATTTAATAGTCACTGTTGATGGTCTAGCCTCTAGCCTTTTTCAAGATAGTGGATAAAGATCATTCCCAGGAAATCCCAAAAACTGACGCCATAACTTCCATATTACATAGCTACATCGTCTATGTGTTATCACACGGACTTATTGAGTGACGTAATAATTATTAGTTTATTACTTCTTTTTGCATAAATTTAATCTCGCATTACCACTATTAAAGTTTAATAGTCATTTGAACAAATATCTGTGCACTTGGCCCACAAAAGGTTTAAAAATTTCTTATCATAAGTTCAATTGAAAAGGATTGAAGGCTGAAAGAAGCAAGAAAGTCTTAAATTTTACGATTTACTAGCTGTACCCATTCACGCTTCGCCGTGTTTTATCTTCTACAATATAAAAATGAACCGCAAAATGTGTTGGTAAGCGCGTAACTCAACAACGCCTGGACCAATTTGGCCAATTCTTTTTTTAAAATGTTCGTTGAAGTCGAAAGATGGTTCTTACGGCGAGCAAAAATCGAATAATTGCCGGGAAAACCAAAAACAGCCCTTTTCTTTTTCACATACAAACGTTTTCTAACTAAAACGTAGAATCAATTTGAGCATATTATTTTTTTTATAATGCGTAAATAAATAACGTGAATTAGAGAATTTATAAAGGTAAACTGGTGGACAGGTAAATGTAAGGATATGTAAAATGGTAGAGTGGACAACTGGCAGATAGACGAACATGTAGATAAATGAACACGTTGACAGGTTAATTGGTAGACATGTAGAACGGGATGACAGGTAAATTGGAAAGCAGGTTGAATAGGTAAATTGTTGAACAGATAGCAGTAAACTTAAACTAAATGTAATAAATACATATCTTTGTTTAATTCTTTAATTTAAACTAAATCATGGCAAAGCGTGAATGGATACAGCTAGTTTTCAATTAAAAATTTAAACAAAAATGCATATTTGTTACATCTAATCCACCAGTTTTCCCGTTTTCCAGTATACTCATTAAGTAATTAACAGTAGTTGGTCATTTCTGCTTAGTTTTTAAATAATTCTGCAATTAGTTTTTGAGATATTATTTATGCATAAGTGTGGAATTATAACGTGTAATATTCATCATGTATTTAAACATTCCATAACTAATTTGAATTATTCTATAAAAATGTATCTGTAATATATTTGAAAATATATCTTGTTCTTCGCATGTTTTGTTCTTATTTCCAATATTAAAAATTATTCAGATTTTCTTACTATATATACGTACAAATCTAGAAGTAGTACTTGGGGTTAATTTACATGTTGTACATGTTCTGCCATCTATTTTCCTAAATTCAATTTTCAATCAAGGTAACGTCAAATCACAGGACATAGCGATCTATTTATGCTTATTCATCTATGATTGCGACGTTGCGACAGTGAATAAACACACCGAAAGTAATAAGGAAGTGAAACCCATTGGCATTAAGATACAAGTGAGCAAGAAATACAGCACATTCTAGTACATACAATGGCGACTCCGACTACGCACATCAAGATAAACAACAACACGTGTTCAATGAATCACTCATTATCCTGGAAAGTGAGTCGATTATAAGCACCACGGCAGAGAACAGGTAGCACCAGCAAACAATATGGCAACCGCCATACACACTAGCCCCCGGCCGCAGACAATGCACTAAACAAACATGGCCACAAGCAAGAAAAATTAAAAAAAAAAAAAACAATCAAGAAACCCACATCGCATCTCAACTTAATAGTTATACATTATCTTTGGCTCCTCATGTTGGCAGCACTGCGCGGGGATTCACTGATTCAAATCACTCTCTACTGTCTGCTACCAAACAGCCAACATCATAAATTACAATACTTTTCCTTTTAATTTTTAATACTCAAATATTATGTACTTTTTATAAATAATAAATATAGTGCATACATACACACACCGCACGCGACCACACACGTCCATTTTTCTGAGATATTGCAAAATGTTCAGAAACTTCTGAAACGTAAAGATATGCAAAAATTTTCAATTTTGTTTTTAAGACGATTACAATACCTTACCCTAAGATAAGTTATTTATGTATGATGATAATATTATTATGAATTCTAACAACTAACAAAAAGCGTGTTCCTCTGAACTAGATTTTCTAACTATAAATAACGTCAAAATTATCAATAAACAATTACTTGCAAATTCTTTGAATATTTTTTTGTGAATGAAATATTCGATATGACATCAAAAATTTAAGTCGACCCAGGTATTTCCAACTCTTTTTTCTCAAAAACATCCGTAATTTCAAGAACATTATATCCACACTATTTCTAACACAGTCCTCTCTTATTATCTTTCAAAAACACCTACTCTTCTGATCCTGATGGAATACCGTCAGATATCCTTAAATAATTTTTTCCATTCTTCATTGACAAATTTTCAATATGTTTTCATATTCCCATCATTTCAAACATTAAAAGAATTAGACTATAATATTAATTCAAAAGCCCATATCTTTGTTAAACACTTTTAATAAAGTTTTTGAAAAAATATTGTATAATAGTCTTAATAACTTTCTGTATACAAATAACATACTATTTAGCAAGATTTTCCTTAATACCGCTCCACTTTCCATTCAATCTTTACATTGGTCAACGATATCATTTATTCTTTTATAGAAGGTTCTTTTTGCACGACAGTGTTTTGGGACCTTCTTGAAGCTTTATAACATTTCCAATGAAATTCTTATTGATAAATTAGAATTGGAAAAATATGGTGTATGTAGCTTAGCACTTCAACTATTCACATCATATCTATCAAATAGAACACAATCAGTTTATCTTGATGATCAAGACTCCACAATAGTATCAAATAAGTTAAATATTTCACCACTTATAATTTATATTAATGATTTGCCTAATTGTTTAATTATTAAGGGAAAATCTTTTGAGAAAGCAAATTTGAAACTATACCGATCAATGATTGCTATTTCTAACAGGTTTAACACTAATAACCTCTTACTTAATGTCAATAGAATTAATAGCAATATTAATTCCCTAACTATTAATTATGTCCTCTTCCAATTTTCTGCCGTCTCCAAGTTCCTAGAAACTCAATTTCATAAATCAGAAATTAAATTGGGATAATCATATTTATTCATCATTAATACCTTAACTTTCTAGAACTCGATTTATGTTAATAGTACTCAAATCTAAAGTTAGTTTAAATTGACCTTCTTCCTATCTATTACTCCAACATCTACTCGCATTTAGCTTACGGCATTCAATTTGGGGATTTTGAGCATCTCTAAAATATGTAATAAAACTTCAAAAAAGAGCACTAAAAATCATGTTCTCTCTTAACGCGATGACAAGTATACTTGACGGCCGCAATATGCCACACAGAGGCGGGCGTCACGTTTCATCGACGGCTTTAATATGAACGCTCAGCGTTCAATAGGCGACGTACCGAAGGGGTGAAAAATAATCCACAGTAATCTTTAATTTATCTTCCATGTCTAATTTCCACTACGTTATAAGGAATATGATGTATTCCACCTTTTAATTTATTACCCTTGCAAATATGCCAACTAATCAATCATAAATTTCACAATGTTTTGGTTAGGTTACTAAAAGTCAACATCTTGTATGACATTTTTGAATATATAAATTTTGTCTTCAAGAAATAGTGGTACAGTCCCAAGCCAACTAGAAGTGCATATCATCAATTAAAATTTTTGAAAAACTTTAAAATATTTCGAAAATATAAAAATTTAAATGTTTGAAAAAATTGATTTTTTTAGATGTTGAAATTTGAAAATTTAAAACTTTTTATTTTCAAAGAAATCGCGCAGCGTAGTTATTTTAGAGATGAAATACCGAAGCGCGCAAGCGCAACGTTGCAGTTTAACGGATAAACATTGGTATGGAACCCAGAAAGGTAAACAATATTTGAACTTATTATTAAAATCTCTAAAAACTATCTGATAATTTGATGTACATGTCTAATGATAATTTTTGACTGCGACAAAAATTTGTATCCACACACAACATATAATAATGACAATTGGGTAATTATTAATGGTAATAAAGCACTAAGTGTAAGACTCACTTTTTTTATAAAATATTGCTTTAAGTTTCTGTAATCAGAGACATTTTTTTATTTGGCAAAATAAAACTAACTAATTAAGATCATAAGCTGCATTTTAAATATCCGGTCTATTTTTTTTACTACTTGCCTGCTTTCTTAGTGGTGATCGACTTTCCAATTTCTTAGCTTTTCTATCGCTGACATCTTTTCTTTTGAATCCACCTCCTCCGCCTACATTTGTTGTGTGTCCAGTGTTGTCATCGAGTTGCTTCATGTATGTGAGGAGGAGCGATGATACAGCAATTCCTGATAAGATACACATGACTGGGGCTAGGACAAGCATCAATCGGACCATTACACCCTGATAACAAAATAATAAATAAATATATACTCCAAGGTAACTTCTTCGCAAAATGAATAATCAATATTTACTAGGAATGTAAAGTTTTACATTTTGAAGAGAATTTTTTATTACATTTTGAAAAGATTTTTTCGAAAATTTCATAAGCCTTTCCTTTTGTGCATTTGGTACGTAGAATCTTCATTTCCTGAACAAAATATAAATATTAAAATTGCTTAGAGAAGTTTCTCCGATCTGCCTTACCAAAATTGTAATCAATTTTACATTCCATCAATACAAGTAAAATGTTTTGAATCATTCAAATCGGGCGCTCCGTACTATTATACATCAGCAAATTGATCAGCACGTTTCCTCATCAATAGAAACCGAATGCGTTCTGAATATTACAAATCGGTTGATCTGTCCTCCCGAAAACATGAACGAAAAATTGTATAACAAAACATACATACATACACACACAAGCTCGCGCGCGTCCCACACATACATCCATTTTTTATAAAGTATGCCAAAATATTCAGAAAACTTTGAAACGTAGAGATATGCAAGACATTTCATTTTTGATTTCTTGTGATTACTATAACTTTTCCTACGGAAAGCTAATCAAATAACGGTATCATAGATAAAAGTAGGATATAACAGTATAGTATTCTTGTAGAGCAATCGCTTCTACGATCAAAAGCATTCGCCTTTACGACGCAAAATAATCGCTTGTTTATACTTCGATTCATGTGAAAATAATAAAAATAAGCAATTGTGACGTGAAAAACTGTTTATTTCTACAATAAAGTCTTTGCTTTATAATACGATTAAACTAATAAATGCTATTTAAATACATAAACTAGTGGTGCATGGCATCGTGCCTTAAGGAACTGCACCAAAAATTAAAACCTAAAAAAAAAATTCAAATTTTCTTTAGAACTTTGAAAAAAATTTTTTTGAGAAAAATTTACCTTTTTGCAAAATTTGATTTTTTTATACTCTGATATTTGGAAATTTTGAACTCTTTTTTGAAGCAATCGCGATACGTTAACTGCGTAGAAACAAAATGTGGAAGCACGTAAGCGCCGCGTCGAGGTCTAGCGGTTAAATATTGATACGGAACCTATGAAAATGTAAACAAAGTTTGTTATTATTATAAAATGTCCGGTAAATTAATGTGCATAATTCTAATGATCATTTTTGTCCGCCGAATGGCATCTTTTAACTTTTTTTTATTGGATCCCTGAAACCGCTAGACCTACCTTCACAAGAATTTCATATGTTCTTCATTTCGTTAATACAAATAAAATGTTTTTTGAATCATTCAAATCGGAAGCTTCGTTCTCTCAAAAATTGAATTACCATTTTATGGCTGGACTCGCCTTTGCCAAAAACTAACTATATATATAAATATAAATATATATATATATATATATATATATACATAATGCTAATTTAGGTTTCCATATTTGAAATTTTAAATTATAACACACTGATGATGAGACAAACCTAGTCTCGAAACACTTGTGAACATTATTATTTAATAAATTAGTGCAAAAAAGGGTGTTGTTTGTTCACATTTCCAAATTAATATATATATATACTAGCTGACCCGACAGACGTTGTTCTGTACCTACGTCTACAATTTTTCAATATTTTATACTAATATTTACTGCTTAGTTAAAAATAATAATTACTGTTTTTTGAATTACTATTTACACCAATATATAAGTGATGTTGAATGTAGAACTGTTTCAAATAAAATGATTGTTCTCAATTTCCACAGTTAACACTTTAATTATTTATTTAACAAATATTAAAAAATGTTCAATAAAATTGTATATTAAAAATTATACACTGCGATTTATAGAACAAATTTATTTCCAATAGCTCAATTTATTTTATTGCATTTAAGGGTTATATAGTATTTTTAGCCATACCTGTAGATGTGGATGTATAAATGAATGATTTTTTGTTTATTCACGACTAAAACATTGATTTTCCAAATTTATCACACTAAAAATGATCGTCTGCCTTTTTGATTTATGGTCATAGCATAAGATACTCATGTTGAAAATTTAAATCTTTTAAAAAGTACAACAAATTCAGAAAGAATTAATATATAGCATTCGCGGCAAAGGTGCAATATCACCTTTTATTTTTCTCACCCAAAATAATTGCTTCAATAATGTTGCCTATAATTTTTATAATTTTGTACCATATTTTAACTGGCTTTAAGTAATTTTAATATCTAAATTGCATTTTTTTCTCTAATAAATCAATATACATTATTGCTTAAGTTTATATTTGAAGTGAATTAATTTGTCAAATCCTGTTCACATGTGCTCTATTCAACTTACGATCAACAAAATTATTGCTCTGTAAATTTTTTTTACTGTGCTCCAATTTACTTGATATTTTGGAAATAGGCTAATCTTTATCTTAATTTCAATGTTTTTAACAATTTGCACTCCGTCACCATCCACAGCATTAATTGGATTATTACTCTTTTAATTCTGATTTTATCAGAACTTGTAATACACTATTTTAAAGGTGATTAAATGAGCTACAACTTTCTCTATCATTAATTTTACCGTAACTTCTCTTATTGTAAAACGGCGAAGGGTTAAAGGGCTCGAAAGACCTCTGGTTGGACAGCTCCTTAATTAATCATACATCTATCAATATTTGTGTAACGAAAAAATAATAAACAATAATAATTAGTCAGAAAAATACCTCGAATTTTCTTATATATATACTTTTATACGTATTCTTTCAGAGGTATTATGATGAGAAATTGGTTGTTTTTTTTTAAATGTTTTTTTTTTCATGAAATCATGAGTTTTTTAAGAATCATTTGTACTAAAGTTGTGGTATTTTCTAGAATCCATCAAGATCTCTTAAACCAAGTTAATTCTAGATTGAATACGATTATTTTTAATTTTGGTGGATATGGCACTCAAAGTATTTGATTTAAATGAAAAAAAAAACATTGCATGCGTCCTTTATCTGCATGATAGCTCACTCATTTTACACGCAGAAATACTCATTTTAAAGCTTATTTTGAGCACTATAAAAACCCATTTTCATATCTAGCCTAATAATGTTCCTAAAACACTATAAAATAACGATTTATTAAGATTTTAATTGATATAATTCTGTTCATTACATGATTTTCGTTAAAATGTATATTTTTGAAGGTGTTAGCAACAAATGATGAAAAACGCAAAAAAGAAACAAATATTCAGTAGCCAGTAACTTGAAAAGTATTTCCTTTTTTGAAAAACATTATTAAATATTTTTCTCGTATAATTAGTTCTTTTATCGATACCCAACGTTATTTTGAAAAAAGTAAAATTACACCACTGAAAAGAAATGTCATCCACCCGAGAAGTGGTAAAGGAGTCTAAATTGTTTTCACTTCTGAAGAGTAAGATGAACCTAGTTCCAAAATTCCAAACGAATTGGAAAATAGTAAAAATTTCAGACCCAAAGCGCTCCATTGAGTAAATATTCCGTACCCAATGACAAACATATGAATTTTGACACAATGAAACTTTAAATAATTTTTTTTGTATTGTGACTTAGTATAGTAAGGCAAAACGACTGCAAATTGAATATGTTTGAGCGCAATCACTTATGGCTCGCTCCTTTGCGCGAATTCGTACGGCGAATCTGTTCGCAAAGTGCGCAAACAAAATTATTGCAAGCAAAAGCAAACCACGCGCACGTCAGACGCATGCGCAGACTGCATCACTTGTCAAATGCATGTTATATTATTTGCATCTTATAATAATTTAATTTTTGGCACATCTCAGCTGCTTTTCGGCATTATAATGTAGACATTACATTTTCCTTATTCATAATTATGAATTTATTATATTCTAATATTGCCTTAGCCTATAAGTGAATAGAAATGTTTGGCAAATGACAGTCCTCAATTGTTTTTAATGTCAAACTAAGCTTCAAATATTCTCAAGGGCAAACAATGATAAGCGGTTTTTTGTAATTTTTTCTATTTATTTCTACAATTTAACTATATTTCTATGAATCAAAACATTCTAAAAAATTTCCCGAACAAACTTCAGGAAGATTCATGAAAATCCGAATTATAGTTTAGAAGGAAATATGAAACTTACATTGTTACAGAAGAATTTTATATATAAGATATATATATATATATATATATAATTTAATAATACCATAGTATTACTTACTGCAAAGTAAATGCTCGTAACTCCGTACAATATTAAAAATATGTTGGCATCCGATAATTTTGAAAAACAGAAGTATAATCCTGCAGGGAATAGAAAGACCAAGAGTTGTAGATCAAAATAAAATGATGACCATGATGTTGGCTGATGTTCAGAAACAGAAGCTGAAAGAACCAAATAAGTTCGAACTTAATAATAGAAAATATATTTATTATATTCAAAAACTATATAGTTTTTAACTATTTTATATTAATATAAAAAAGTTATTAGTATAAAATTTTAATAGTTATTTATAATCGGTAGATGCCAGGTTTGATGCATATGTATTCATTCAGAAATGAAAATTAATGATACAAAATCAGTATAACTTATTAATAATATGAAATGTATTTATTACATTCAAAATTATTATATAAATGTTAACTATTTTATATTAATTAGAATTATTAGAATCAAATTTTAATAATTTTTTATGAACAGTAGGTACCATAATTGATCCATATGTTTTAATTCAAAAATGAAATTTAGAAATATATGTCATTTTTAAATAGCCTTCATAAAGCATACGATATAAAACAACATTGGTAAATCTCATCTCACTAAGTTTTCCTGAGTTGAACTAGAGTCCAACACCATTATGTGCTGAACATCCCATTATTGTATGTTTATAATAAATAATAATGATTTACAATAAAAATTGTCATTAACAACTTTCTAAATTCTATTCGACATTCTATATCGCAAAAAAATTGTATTTATTCAGGTTCAAATTCAGAATTTTCTGATTTAAAATCAACTTCAATACGATAAATTTCTATTCTCAACATACCTATTATAGGAATATGGTTTTTAGCATACGACGGATCTAATAACGAATAAAATCTTCCTGTCCAAGGCGCAATTTTTCCAGAGACTGCCAGTAAAGATCCGGCAACAACTGTAATAGTTGCGACTACGTACACCAATGCTTTAAACAATATCTGAAAGTATATAATTCTTAAAACCAATCTAAGATATAATTACTAGATAGTAAATCAATTAATAAACTTACCTCAAACTCGGTGGCCGATAATTTGCTTTTTAAATAATCTACGAATGCATGGATTTGGCACAGACCAAACACTCCTAACGCCTGAAATAAAAGTTAACTAGTTAAAAGTGGCATTTTGCCTGAAGGCAAGTTGCAAAAACTTCCCGAAAGATGTAATAATTGACCTAATCAATCAAAATTCAGATTTAAGGGGCACAACTAGTGTGAAATTTTGAAAAAATCGATTTTTGTTTTTTCATATTTCGGTAGACCACACCTTTAAAAATAACATATTAAAATTTCAAATCGATATCTCAAATAGTTTTTGAGTTACAGCCATTTAAAAAGTATACATATAGTATATAGTACAACGATCATTTAATCTTTAAACGCGTTTTTCTCGAAACAGCATTTTCCGAATTTGCTGCAGTGATTACTCAAAAACGAATGATCCGATCACTATCAATTTTTTTTTACATATTCTATATATAGTTCTCCGTAAAATGAACTATCGATTTTTTGATCAGATCAAAAATCGAAATTTGGCAGTCGAAAAGCGACCAAAATTTTGGGTAAAATTCGACTTTTTTTTTAAAACGCCGCCATTTTGTCAATTTTTGATTTTTTTTTTATCGTAGTTCATTTTACAGACAATATTATCTAGTTTAACGAGAATTATTATTTTTTTGATTTCATCCACGTAGAAGGCCGGAATCACTGCAGCAGTTAAGGGCCTTTTTTGTCGCGCCGTTGGAGATCGACGATAACTTAAAAAATATTTAATTTTTTTCTTCAAAAATTTTACTATGTATAATTACATAGTAATTACATTTTACTATGTAATTTTGAAATGATTGATAAAGTAGTTTTTTTAATATAAATTCCCAAAAATCACCTGTTTTTTAGGTTACACTAGTTGTGCCCCTTAAATTGTATTTAGATAAAGTTATCAAATATTTTCATTTTCAATTAAGTGAAAACATTGCGATTTCCAACTGATATTACTCACATTTATAAAATCTGTAATAATATTAATTAAAGTCACAGACCCGTGCTTGCATGTTCTAAAATTGTAGCCTATTAATATAAATTTTAATTAATTTATATAATTCAACCAATTTACGTAAGACTGTTTAGTGCATGAACTTCATCGCAATGTTAAATTTCATGAAAAACGTCGAAACATTTCTTTTAAAAAACTTAAATCATTTGTGTGAAATATTAGCGTCTGCCATAAGAAAATACTGATACGATATATCATGCACGTACTTCTAGATATCATTTAATGATTTAAATTTTAAACAAATGGTAACATTTATTATAAAACTAGATAAGTTTTGTAGACTTCATTTTTTTGCTAATACCAAAGGCATTGGACAAAAAGTTTTGCACTTTTTTTTTTGCTAATTACAAAGAAACGGGACGGTCGATAGTCGCACAAACATTGATACGGAACCCATATAAATTTGTACTTATTACTATAATCTCTATAAAATATCTGATAATACGATGTGCATACATCTAATGACCATTTTTGACCGCCAAATTGCATCGTTTTTTACTTTTTTATCTCCGTAAATGCTGTATCTGCCTTCCCAAAAATAAATTTTCCATCCATCCCAGTTGTTCATTTCGTCAATACAAGTAAAATGTTTTCGAATAATTCAAATCGGACGCTCCATTCTCTTAAAAAACTGAAATACCATTTTTGGCACTTTAGCGCCATATGTTTGAAACGGCTAGAGCTGCCTCTGCTAAGAACTAAACCAGATTTTGAATCATTCAAATCGGTTGATCCGTTTTCTCGAAATCGTCGACAAAAAATTGAAATCGCATATACACACATCCATCCATATTACTTTATTGCACAAAGGCATTTCCTTCACTATACAAAAAAGTAGGGTAAATGTTATAGAAATCGCAAAAAAATCGAAAATGATTTTTTATATATCTTTACGTTTCAAAGACTTCTGAGCATTAAAAACTTTGAAAAAATTATTGTGTGTGTGAGTTCGGATACAAATTATCGTCGATACAAGGAAAAGGTAAAAAAACATGCCATTTGGCAGTCAAAAATGATCACTAGACATATGTACTTCAAATTATCAAATATTTTATACAGATTTTAATAATGAGCACAAATTTCATTAAAATTTCGCACCAACGATTATCCATTAGACTGCGACGAGGCGCTTACGCGCTTTCTTCTCTAAAACAGACAACAGGATGAATGCTTTGAAAAAAGCTTAGAATTTCAAAAAGTTCCAAAATATAAAACAATTCAAATTTTTCAAAAGATTACGTTTTTTACAAAAATTTCAAAACTCAAATCAATTTTTTTCAAAGTTTAAAACAAAAAATCGGTACGGTAAGTTCCTTCATATGGTAAAATTCATAAATCATGTGTTCGATCGCCGTAATAAATTTTCAATCCCAAAACCTTATATTATTTTCTATAAACCATAGATCTTAAATTTCTTATTTTTTTATACAGAAATTTAACTATATTATATATAGATGCTGGGAATTAAAAAGTAAATATAAATATGAAAATTGAATGCGGGTAAGATGTCCGCTTTATTTACGTTATTCAATTGTTTTATGATATGCATTGTTAGTTTTATCTTAAAATTAACAGATTTTTTATATAAACCTTATCCAGGAGATAAATTAAATTAATAGTTATTCCAACTCTGTTGATGCTCATGAAATTTGTATGGAAAAACCCCTCTCAATTAAAAATGAGACATTTGAAGTGTTTGCCCCAGAGATAAACGGGGACAGATGGAAAAAAATGGCAAACAAATATATTGAAATTTCTATATTTAGGCAATAAGTGGGAAATTTTCATGACATATCTCGATAGTTGTTTGTTGATGTTTGTTTACCAAAAAAAGCAAATACAGTAGAACCTCGATTATCCGGACCTCGGTTATACGGATTCGCGATTATCCGGACATAATCGCGTCGGAACTTGCATATTCCGCCCGCGCCGCTGTTTTGCTGCCCCGCGCGGCATTATCGCTTTATGTAGTTCGTTTGCAATTTTACTAGTGGCTTCTGACGTGCATATATACATTTTTAAATAGTGGTGTTATCCCTTAAAGATGAAATAAATATTATAGAATCATTAAAAAAAGGCGAAACCGGCCGTAAGTTAGCTGATAGGTATGGTGTAGGTACATCTACTATATATTAAAAAAGCCATATTAAAAAAAATGCCGATTCAATTTTGTCGTACATTTGCAAGTTAGATAGTGAAGAGGGGAGTGAAAATCGAAAAATGATGAAGAGACCGAAAAATTAACTCTTGGAAGAAGCTTTATATTGTTGGTTCTTACAAAAACGATCAACAGGACAGCCGATATCTGTGAAAAGGCATTACAGTTAAATGAAAAATTAGGCGACGATGAATCGTTTGTGGCAAGTAGTGGATTGATTTTTGTTGATATCTATGTATGTATTTGTTATTTTTGATAAACAAAACATTATTATTCATAATTTGGATTATCCGGATTTTCGATTAACCGGATGTCTATCGACAACAATTAGTCCGGATAATCGAGGTTCTACTGTATATGAATTTAATCATTACCAAATTTTAGCGAATCTCGCAAGTCGCATATTGATGCGTATAATGCAGTATTCAAACGTACGAAAAGTAAACTATTTGTAACTAAGCTAACGATTACCACTTGTTCGAACTATATTAGGATTTTACGCAGTTTACCAGTTATGAGATTAAATCGTATAATTTATAAAATAACTGTTTCTAATTTCAATATATTTTATTTATATATTTTTGTATACTTACCAGCATATGTTCAGAGCTCTGCACTGGTTGGAATCCAACAAAAGATATCTGCATCGACAATATTGTTCCTACACAATATACAGTACTGTAAGCAACGTATACACGATGGCCAAATCTGCCAGTTAGCATTAAACACAAAACGTGTAAGGGTATCAAGTTGATTAGGAACACGTAACCTCCCCAGGAAGAAACCTATAAGTTAGAAGAAAGCAATGATAATAAATATTATTTGATAGACTGTAAACATATAATAATATTGAACTATCAATTTGAAGTTTAATAGTGTGTACTAAAGAACTATAGTTTAATACTACTTTGAAGGAGAACATTGTTTTCCGAAAAAAATCTGATTTTCAATTGGCTTTTTCTGCGTTTCAAGTGAATTTGAAACGTTTGAAACTGAACTTGAAAAAAAAAATGTGTGAGAGTGAGCCACTCATTTTACGATTCGATTCAGAATGATTAGAATTACTCGATAAAACTTGGCAAGAACACGTAATGATTATTAATTTCGCGTAAGGTAAGTTATAGTAATCGCAAAAAAATCGAAAAATGAAAATTTTTGCATATCTTTACATTTCAAAGGTTTCTGAACATTTTGGCATACATCAGAAAAAATTGATGTATGTTTGGATACAATTTTTCGTCGACGATTTCGGGCGCACTAATCAACCGATTTGAATGATCCAAAAAACATTCGATTCCTATTGATATGAAGACGTGCTGATAAATTTTTGGTGAAGACAGGTTTAGCCGTTTCTGAGATATGGGTCAAAAAGTCCCGAAACCGGTAATTCAGTTTTTGAGAGAACGAAGTACTTGATTTGAATGATTCAAAAAACATTTTACTTGTAATGACGAAATGAATAATTAATAAATTTTTGGTAAGGCATGTCTAGCGGTTTCGGAGAAACAGAGGAAAAGGTAAAAAAAAAACGATATTTGGTGGTCAAAAATGAACATTAGTCGTATGCGCATCAAGTTATCAGATATTTTTGATAAAGTTTTTAGATACTAAAAACTTTAATTACATATAATAAGTACTAATTTTTTTGCGACCTGTCAACATAGATCGCATCTCAATTTGATCGATAAACATTATTTTTGGCTCATCATAGTGACAGCACTGCGCAAAACAAAAGTGCAAGCGTCAGTTCGGATCTCTCTCTTGTTTCTCTCATGTCGAACTGCCAAAATTATAATTCATAACACTTTTTCTTTTCATTGTAAATACACAAATATTATCTACGTTTTATAAATGATAAATATAATTACACATAGTGTTGTTACTATTTTATCATAAAGAAAATACATTAAATATCACCAACTGTTTCTATATTTGGTGACAATTGTATCTACAGTAGCCTAACAATAAGCGATTTTGATAGTATTAATTGATCCTTTCTGACGCCAAAATTAGGTTTTTCCAAAGGTACCGTACGTTCGTGTTCGACAATGAACGAACTTCTATATCGTTGCAAAACGAGTTGATTTTCAACTAGTTATTTCGTTGCGACGAAACGGTTGATTCGTTAATGAAGAAGACACAGTTCCATCACTAGTTCACATACACACACAAACTTTTCTAACTTCGGTGCCAAAAAAAGTAAACAATTGTTATGCAACTTAAAGCAGAGTTTGCAAATTTGCTTTAAACAAATGCATAAAATTTCATATTCGTTAAGAAATATATTAGAGTAAAGTAAGCAATGCTGAACTTACATTTAAAAACTGAAGCCATATATAGTATAATAAAAGCTCGTTTATATAAAAAATAGCACATTACATATAGAAATATAAGTAATGCAAGTTTCTTTTTGTTCATAAACCCACATATGCATTATCATTGATCAAGAAATTTCTGTTTTCTATTATAACCAATTATCGTCATACCAACCATGTAAAAATATGCTAAAGCAGTCATTGTGGACCAAAATATGTTGCCCGTTTTTATGGCCTTAATCCACATGTAATAAGTCAACAGCATGCAAAATATTGCAATGCCTTCGTTATCATAGCTTCCCGCAACAGATCTAGAAATGTAACCAGGGACAATAGAAATCATTGCAGCAGCCACTAAACCTGCACCTGAATCCTGAAATATAAAAATTGTGTTAATTACACGCCAAGTATTACAACATTACAAATAAGTTTGTAACTAATTGTAAGTAGCATTTTCCTTAAGGCAAGTTGCCTGAACTTCCTGATTTTTAGGATCTTGTTTTGATTGAATTTGAATTTACTTTTCGAAGGACCATATGTAAAACACTTAATTGAATAACTGTATATATTTATTTTATAAGTTATAATAGTATTTATAACAAATTTAATATGTTTTGATTATGTATTGATTGAATTGACTTTGATTTTTATAATTATATATTTGATGATTTTTTGTTTTCTATTCGCATAACCGCCTGCTTTGATCGGCGCGAACATGCTCCCGCCTTTGAAATATAGATTTCAAAATGTTTGGTAATCTTCGTGAATGTGAATTAAGTTGTTGTTAGTGGTTTTGGTAATACACATATTCTGTGAACAGCACGCTTGAGTATTCCACCCTTTGTTTTAATTGTTACCACACGCACAATTCCATCGTCTCCTGGGTGCGTTTCAATGATACGTCCTAATTTCCACTGCATTGGAGGTAAATTTTCTTCCTTAATTACTACCATTTCCCCTATTTCAATTTGCTGTGATTGTTGCACTTGCCACTTCGTTCTACATTGTAACTCTGAAATATATTCTTTATGCCAGCGTTTCCAAAAATGTTGTACAAGTTTTTGGAGTCGTTGATATCGAGAAAGTTTATTGTCAGGTATATCAAACACTGACGGATCTGGAGTTGAAATCAAGGATTTTCCAATGAGAAAATGACCAGGAGTTAATGAATCATAATCGTTAGGATCGGAGCTTAAAGGAAAAATTGGTCTTGAATTCAATATTGCTTCGATCTGGGTCAGAACCGTATAAAAATCTTCGAAGGTTAAAATGGCGTTTCCTAATATTCGTTTTAGGTGAGCCTTGCATGACTTTATGGCAGCTTCCCAAATTCCTCCGAAATGAGAAGAATTCGGTGGAATGTGCTTCCATGACACACCTTCGTTAATCATTTTATCAGTAATCTCGTTTTGATTTGACTTTCTTTGTAAAAATTTATACAGTTCCTTTAATCCAGAAGCTGCGCCTATGAAATTCGTTCCTTTATCTGAATAGATTCCGCGAGGTTTGCCATGTCGTGCCATAAATCGTTTTAATGTTGCCATGAAACTATTCGTCGTTAAATCAGATACTAATTCATGATGAATTGCTTTCGTAACAAAACATACAAATAAGCATATATAAGTCTTTAATTTTTTGCACCCTCTTGTTTGACGATCTCTTATTAAGACAGGACCTCCGTAATCTACTCCGCATATAAAAAAGGTGTAATTGATTATTATAGCATTAATGGATGAAACCATGTGGGTTATACTTTTAAAGCATATTACACATTTTTTATGATTAATCTTGTAAAGTTACTGCTTCCGATAGGCCAATAGGTATTACGCATTGTATTTTATAGTATTTGTGTTCCGCAATGATACAATTTTAAATACTCATGTCTAGCTATCAGAACTGTTAATGGGTGATTCTTTGGTAGTTAGTGATTTTAGGTTTGAAGATTTGTTTAATGCTTCCTTACTCATAATTATGTCTATGTCATGCTTGTATGTATCATGTTGTGTCTTGCTGTGTTTCAGTTAAATTTTGTAATCAAAATGGGCCTTGCCACTATATAAATGAATTAGATAGTAATTAGATTATGTTATTGTATAGAATATGAATCGGTTTTAGAATAAATTACGATAATTTCGTATTCCTTTGGAAAAACTGTCTGGTTTTAAACACACCGTGACTAGGCCAATAGAAACTTGTTTTGGGTTTGATAGATTCATTAACTATGTTTCTATTTCCTAGTGACATATAAGTATTCATAAAGTTTTTACCTTCGGTAAATATATTTTGATTTGTTCGTAAATCATTTGTGCGTGAAATATAGCATTTACAATTCGCATTGTCTTTTATATGATTTGTAAATCGAGTTGTAACAATAGACCTTCCGTCATTTGTCGAAGTTCTATTAGAAAAATGTTGTTTGCGTTGTGTTTTCGTTTTATTAAAATATTGTATGTCATTGCTTGCTTTCAAATCCCAAATTCTATTTTCTTGCGCTTTTACATTAGATCTACGATTGCATATTGAAAATGAATGTGAAGTATTAAGAGGTATGTTACCGGCAGAATGACATGAAATAATTTGTGGTGTATCAAGAGTCGGTGGTTGGTTTGAATTTCTGTGTAAGAGACTATGGTGATTTGAATTGCAAAAGGTACATCGACTCGATGAAAGGCATTGACTAACATTATGATTACACCGTAAACAATTAATGCATAATTTTAGTTCTTTTGCTTTAATTAATCTATCTTCTGTAGATAGTGATCGAAACTTTGGGCATTTGAATGCTGAATGATAAGTCCCATTGCAAAACAGACAAATATTTTTGCAATTGGTTGATGTATCGTAAGACTTCGTTTGTTTTGCGTAATTAGTGTTATTGTCTTTAAAATTATTGAAAATTCCGGTTCTTGTCTCAGTTGGGTTTATAGCTTCTAACGTCATACAGCGTTGATTTAGAAAGCTATTGAGTTCGGCAAATGTAACTAATTCTGACCCTCTATTCATGAGCATTTCCCACTCTTGGTGAGTTTTCTTGTCTATTTTTGTCATGATTAAATAATTAATTAGAGCGTCCCACTGGTCTACCGGTTGTTGCAACATTTTTAGACATCTTAAATGCTTATTAAACGTATCTATTAAATTGCGAAGATCCTTACCCGATTCATTGTGCATGGCTGGATGATCAAATAATTTTTTAATATGGTTATTTACGATTATTTTCTTGTTTTCAAACCGCGTTTTTAATAAGTCCCACGCAATAATATAATTATCGGCCGTTGCCGGTAGTGATTCTATGAGATTAGCAGCATCCCCCTTTAGGCACGATTTTAAATAATAAAACTTTTGGGCATTGCCTATGTTTGAGTCTTTGTGAATTAAACAAGAAAATGAATCGTAAAATTGTAACCAGTTTAAATAAGAGCCGTCAAACTGAGGCAAATTAATCTGAGGCAATTTAATGTTGTTAAGACTATTTGTCATATTAGAATCATTAAAGTAGTTTGAATTAATATCTGACTTATTTTGTGCTATTTGACTGAATTTTAATAAAGTTGATAGGCACCTTTTATATTTTTCAAAGTATTCATCTAATTCGATATCCATTAACTTATTTATTTCATCTTCGTCTTCTAATAGCGTTGTTATATTGATAATGGTGTTTTCGAATATTTCAAATAATGGCCTTACCTCTTCGACATGGCTGTTTATATCTAAAATATCTAACTCAGAAGTAGGTGTTTCTGCCAGTTGTTTGCATATTTTCTCATATCTTGTTAATCGCGATTTCATTCCTCTTTGCTTCAGTTTTAATGATTTTAACGATTCCATTTTGACGTGGATTATAATTGTAAAAATGGTTAGTTTTAAGTGACCTGATTTCTGCTCCTTTGGCTCCAATTGATGTCTTGTATCTTCTTCGACTGCTGGATGTCAATTCGACTCGTCTGGACCAATGAAAATTTAGGATGGTTGAATCCGGCTCGAAGGACCAATGATTTTTAGGATCTTGTTTTGATTGAATTTGAATTTACTTTTCGAAGGACCATATGTAAAACACTTAATTGAATAACTGTATATATTTATTTTATAAGTTATAATAGTATTTATAACAAATTTAATATGTTTTGATTATGTATTGATTGAATTGACTTTGATTTTTATAATTATATATTTGATGATTTTTTGTTTTCTATTCGCATAACCGCCTGCTTTGATCGGCGCGAACACTTCCGAATACGTATAAATAATAAACTAGTGGTGTATGGCATCGTGCCTTAAGGCATATTGTTGGAACTTCCCATACCGTAACGAAATGATCAAGGAATATTAAATGTTTTCAAATAAATTATCATGAATATTGTAACATTGTCTAATATTTATAAGAATTATATAAATTGAGTTGCAAAGTTAAGGGTATTTATTTGAAGTATATAGTTGAGCTTATACTTATACAAGTTGAAATTATTTATTTAAAGTATATTAGAACAGAATTAAAATTAAAATCTGAATTATTTTCGATATACAAAAAAAAACTGATAATTTTTTTTTTTTTTCTGAAAAATAAAATAGAAACATTTTTTTTCCAAATACAAATATTTTGTTGAGACGAGCAGAAAGTTCTTTGAATACTTCAAATCGGACGCTTAGTTCTCTCAAAAACTGCCATTTTTTTTACTCGAATTTTGAATTGCGGTACGGGAAGTTCCAGCAATTTGCCTTAAGGCACGATGCCTTAATTGCCTTAAGACAGAATTCCACTTACAGGTAGTTTTAAATTTTAATAAATTGATAACGTTTTGACTCATCACATCACAAAAGCAACTTTTGACACAAATTTTGAATATAATATTTTTTAAAATTTTGATAAATTCTTTACATTAACCCTTTCGACTAGGATGCCGCCGCTCCGGCGGCACAATTCATATAAATCTCGGAATTTGCGAGTGGAAAGTGTTAAACTATTTGTCCTAGTGCTGTAACATTTTAGTATGTTCATGATATCTATTGCCAAAAAAGGTTAATAACAATCGGCAATTTTTTTTCAACAGTTAATTTCAAGAAAACGGCTCAGTAGATTTTTGCCTAAAACTAATCAGTATCATTCGGCATATCCAACAAATATCTTTCGAAAAGTTGTTGATTTTTTTAAATCGATTCAGAATTGAGATCTAAAACATAAACCAACATTTTTTCACTTTTCTGCAATTTAGCCGATCGTCGCACAAAACTGAGAAAAGATAATCCACATCGAAATACAACGACTGGCTTTAATTTTAGAAATCAATTCAGGCGTTTTTGAGAGAACGTCAATTCGGCAAAAAATGTGTTCACATACAGACACACACACATACGTTTCCAAATTTGGTCTCATTTGATTCAGAATGGCTTGAAACGTCGAGAAAACAAAATTATCAAATCGGATTTTTTTATGAAAACATAAACTTCTTCTTCAGGAAGTTAATTACACAGCATACTAAATTATACAGGTGGATAATAATAGTTTATGAAGTTCAAACATACCCGTAACTCTTTTGTCAATAAATATGTGACTATAGTGGTCAGTGAAGAGAAAAATGGTGCCAAGAACACACAGACATTTCTTATATTAATCGTTATGTTAAAAGACCATAACAAATTATATAACGATGCAGCTGTCACCATCAATCCAGGATATATTGTACCTAAAAACAAATTTCAAAAGATATAGCTAATAACATAATAAATTAACATTGATTTTTATTGATAAAATTTCAGTCAAAATCTTATAATCATTATTTCAATAATTTAAATTCATTATATTGAATCAATTAAAATTATTTGATTTTTGATTTCTGAACTATGTATTGACTATTTGCAGTCAAGGATAGAAATGTCGCATTTTTTCTTGAAGCAGTGTTTAACGTAAGATCAAAATTTTACAGAAATTAAGTCTATGGGATTTTGTCATATTTTGAAAAATTTTGACACGCTATTCAGAAACCACATGTTTATTTCGTTCAGGGTCGAATAGTACCCCTCAGCAAATCTTCTTTTAAATAAGTTCTCTTCAAAATGAAAAATTTTTGGAGTAAAAAAATATGTTGTATATATATATATATATATATATATATATATATGTGTGTGTGTGTGTGTGTGTGTGTGTGTGTGTATAAATCTAGAGTACGTGTATTGTCACTATACTGTTCCTAAACGGATATGCGAATTTTGATAAATAATTTCGGAGTGTTCCAATCAATGCATATACAAAAGAGGAGTGGTTCTGAATTGAATAAATATAGTAATAATGAAGAAAAAAGTGGAAAATTGGGAAGAAAATCATTGTTTTACACTTGAGATGAGCCAAAATGTCAATTCACTTAAAATTTGAATTTCAATGATGAATAAAATGAACTTTAATGTAAGAAAAATGTAATTTGAAATTTGTTAATCCCAAAATGTAAACTAAGATGTAATAGGGATTAAAGTATTGAAAGCAAATAATAAATTACATTTGTTAAATTCTAAGTTAGAAAAATGTAATTGATGACATAAGCAACTGAGATATTA